GGGAGGGAGGGAGGGAGGGAGGGAGGGAGGGAGGGAGGAAAGGCATGGGGGTCGGGGGAAGCAAAGCAAATGGGAGTTGTTGAGATAGCTCAACCAGTAAAGGTGTTTGCCGACTTGAAGACCTGAGTCCATGTGGAAAGAGAGAACAGACTTCCTCGGGTTGTTCTCACCTCCACATGTGCTCCCCGGCACTCACTTGATTGTGTAAATACATGTGCACACAGTAACTATGTAAAGTTAATGAAAGCGAAGCAAGTGGAAAGATCTTGTGGGGGGAAGTGTGTACTAGCGAGTGACTAAATGAAGCACCTCCGTGGGTACCCGAAAGCACACGGGTCCTTTTCCAGACTATCAGGACTTAGAATAGTTGCTAACGTTCCTTCCTGTCTGTTGCAAGGCTCTAACTTGGTCTGCTTCTCTTCAAAGGTTTGCTTGGAAGAGAAAAACCCTAAGCTTTCCAATCTGGCTCACGTCATGACCCTTTACAAAACACACAGCTACACAAGGGACTGCGCCACATGGGTCAGCGTGGTCTGCCGCTACCTTCATGAAGCCTATGCTGACATCACCTTGAACATGGTCACCTACCTGGCAGAGGTAATCGCTGACACTAAGCATAACATTGATTTAGCATCCATGGTCCACATGTTTATACAGCTTTGACAGTGAGTGTCTACCATGTGTTGGTAGACCAGGGTCTACAAATGCTAATGGATTCATTTTAAATCCTCACAACAAACCAGTGAGTGGGGTATTCTGTGAAGGAGCTGAGGCCGAGATCAGTTAACTTATGAGCTGTAAGTTTAAGGTAACTGACCCTAGATCCAGCAGCCTCCCTCCAAAGCTCACCCCACCCCTACTTACTATACTCTACACTCCTACACTCGTCCCCATCAGATTAAACTTAATCCTAGCTCAGCATGGCAGTGCACACCTGTAATTCCAGCACGTTAGAGGTGTGGGGGGGATGGGCGGAGTGACAGTCAGATCTTATCAAGGACTTAGTATGTTGCTAGATATGTTAGTGATTGATTGTTCCAAACTGTTAACAAATTATACCCTAAGAAGAAAATCTTTATCATTGCCTTTTGTCTATACAACTAGAAGCATGTGTGTTTCTAGCACATTCTGTGCAAACTCTTATGCTGACTTCTGTCCCATGGATGTGAGATGTCTGTAGCATTTCACAGGACCGACGACAGCATGTATAACACTTCCAGCCCCATGTGTGTGGTGCACAGGTCATGACGTCTCTGAGCAAATGACTGGTAATAGCGAAGTTCCTTTGGCCTTTTCCACCTGAAATATGCTTGCACGCCTCTTGTTAGGGTCTCTGCACAAAAAAGAGGACCCTAATTCTTATTGATGCAATTATCTAGTTCCAGGTAGCCTGAAACATTTCTTCAAGGGTTCCATAAGACCAAAAGTGTCTATCTAATGGAGGGCAATTACCACTGACCCTACAGTGTTTTAGCTTACAATACATATTAGTAGCGTACAGACCATACCAGACAGTCAACAGCCAAGTATTCATTGGCCAATTCAATGCTCACTCATGTGTCCAGCATTTTAAACTCTTGCTTCTGATAATCTCCCGGTCATATCTTTCCCTGCAAGCAAACACACCCTTCCCTCAGACCCAGAAGGTATAAGAAGAACCAACACAAACACCCTGCTACCAAAGCAGGGGACATACAGCGCCAATCCTAAGGGGTAATAAGATGACCATGCAGGAGACTTTGTCTAGAAGATTTACCATAAACATTTTAAAAGTATAAATTGAATGTGGTGAGTACATATAGTGGAATAATATTCTTTCTTCAAAAGGAAAAAATTCTGATGCCAGAGAGATGGCTCAGTGGTTAAGAGCACTGACTGCTCTTGCAGAGGACCTGGGTTCAGTTCCCAGTATCCACATGGCAGCTCACAACCATCTGTAACTCCAGTTCCAGGGGATCTGATGCCTTCGTCTGAGCTCACATGCAACAGACATGTTTGCACATACATACATTCATACATACAAAACACTCATATGTAGAAAATAAATCTAAAAAAATGTAGATGCATAATTTGTTCTGTTCGGCCTTTATCCCAAAATTGTCAGCAAAACCTGATGAACCCTCGGGCTTCCTGCCCTGTGGAGTTTTCTGACTTCTGCTCAGTTTCTCCCCTCCACTCAGGACCTGGCCTTGCACACACACAGCCTTGTGTTGCTGTGCTCAGGTTTCCTCTGAACCTGCTCTGCCTACTTAATATTTACTCTGTGTGCAGGAGGCCTTACACATGAACGTGACACTCCACTTAACCTTCCCTGTCCTGTTGCTTAACATTTGTCATTTGTTTATTACGAATGGCCCTGTTGCCACATTACCAAGGGACACTTGGTGATATGTCAAGTGGTCATTCACTTTTTACCAAGATTTATTATTTCATTTTAATTATGGGGGAGGGGGAGGCAGTTGAATACTGTACCTCCAGAGGCCAGAGCAGGGCATCAGATTCCTGGACCTGGAGTTACAGGTGGTTGTGGGACATCTAACATGGGTCCTGGCCATCAAACTCTGGACCTCTGCAAGAGCAGAGTGTGCTCTTAACCACTAGGCTATCTCTCCAGTCCAATCATGGCTTTGTATTAAAAAGTTTATGAAATAGTATTGTACGATTTCCTAAAGTAGAAGTACCCCATCAAAGGGCGTGGCTATGTGGGTTCTCTTTTCTATACGTTTGGGGGGATCGGTCTTCACAAAGGCTTTCCTAATCTATAATACTACAGATGATGTATAAATATTTTTGTTTTTCCCAGTGCCCACTGAATTTGCTATTCTATGTGTCCTTTTGCATAATAGAATATTATGCAATATATTATATAGTTTATACTCTCACTGTTTTCTTTTTTTCTTTTTTTTCTTTTTTTTTCTTTCTTTTTTTTTTTTTTTTTTTTTTTTGGTTTTTCAAGACAGGGTTTCTCTGTGTAGTCCTGGCTGTCCTGGAACTCACTCTGTAGACCAGGATGGCCTCAAACTCAGAAATCCGCCTGCCTCTGCCTCCCCAGTGCTGGGATTAAAGGCGTGCGCCACCACTGCCCGGCTTCACTGTTTTCTTTGTATGCTTTCTTGTTTTGTTTGTTTATCTCCTTTCTAGTCGTCCTAGCCATTTTTCCCACAAGATAGATTAATGTAGCTCTCTGATTACTCGTGTGTGTGAACATCTCGGTTATCTCTTCTGATGTGGGATTTCAACATCTATCTGAATGATTTCTGTCAGTTCTTCGAAGTAAATTTGAACAGTGAACTTTTAAAATAAAGCTTTTTAAAAGTATCCTTATTTTTATGTTAGAAGTACTTTCACATGTAGTATCTACACAGGCCACAAGATGGCGCCAGGTGCTCTGAATTAGAATTGTCAGTTGTGTGCTACTATGTGGGTACACGGAACTGAACCCAGGTTCTCTGGAAGAACAGCCAGTTCTTTTAACTGCTGACCCCTTGACACTATCTTTTGACTTCATAGGCACCTGCAGTGCACATAAATTCACATAGGCACACACATACACATAAATACATAGCTTTTTAAAAGGCTTTATGGAGACTGCAGAGGTGTTCAGGAATTAAGAGCACTGGCTGGTCTATCAAAGTTTGATTCTTAGCACCTATATGGCAGTTCACAGCCTAACTCCAGTCCCAAGAGATCGGATGCCCTCTTCTGACCTCTGAAGACACTGCAAGCATGTGGTATATACTTATACACAAGCCAGACTCCCATACATAAAAATAAATAAGTATAAAAGTAACTTTTATTTACCTGATGTAATTGTCTCCGAGGCTTACTGCTTCCACCTGCTAACCTAGGCCTAGTCCTGGAAACTTCTAACCTCTGTACAGTCTAATCTAGGCCTAGAGTGTTTTCAGCCTCTGTGACTTGCTGCTGAATAAGATCACCATTTTTTGTTCTTTCGGATTGATCTCTGGCTGGCTGGTTCAATTCAGCTGTTCTGGCTCAAACTCCTCTCCTAGCTGACTGATTCAATCCAACTTCTCAGTTTCTCCTGAATGACCTCATGATAACTTTGGCAATGTGTTCTAATCTTCTGTCTCCTTCTCATTCTCTGGTTCTCTCTTTGTCTCCCTCTAACCTGTCTCTGTACAACTGTCACAGTAACACTGCACTACTCTCTCTTAAGTACCTTCCCTTTCCTCTCTCTTCTCTTGGGTACATCCTATTCTGTCAAATCTTTCTCTGATGCATCACTTTGTCTACCACTCAATTAGGTATCACTTTCAAACATGGTTGCTTCCTTATATAAACTAACTTTACCTTCATTGTTTGGGACTAAAGATGTGTACTAAGGGCGTGTCTATTCCAGCCAGAGTGATTAAAGGTGTGTGCTGTGGCTGAGCTACACCACAACTAGAAGTGGTGTATTTCAATAAACAACACAATCCCTGGGTTCACAGTGATCAAATATCCTGCAACAAATAAGTACCTTTTTTCTTTTTCTTTTTCTTTTTTTTTTTTCAAAAGACTCTGGAGCTAGAGATAGTCTCTAGCTACTATGTGAGTCCTGGGAACTCAGTTCAGGTCCTCTGCAGGGGCAACTTCTTAACCTCTGAGCCAACTCTCTGGCTAAAACAATGACACTTTCATCATGATGCCTATCATACATATTTTCTCATTACATTGATTTTCCTTTGGATAATATCATCAATTTTTTTCTGGTTATAAAAGCAGTAACATACAACACAAAATTTGGAGGAAGTTTTTTTAAAGAAAAAATATTAACATTATTTTATTTGTAGAGGAACACTTTCTTGACATTATCTTCTACATAGATAATTCTGTATGTTGTCTTCTACTTACTAGTATCTAATATCCTCTACCATCTTTTAAAACGCCGTTGTGAAGTGAGTGTGGTATTACATAATTTTAATCCTAACATTTGGGAGTCCAAGGCAGGTGAATTTCGTGAGTTTAAGGCTAACCTGAGCCGGGCGGTGGTGGCGCACGCCTTTAATCCCAGCACTTGGGAGGCAGAGGCAGGCGGATTTCTGAGTTCGAGGCCGGCCTGGTCTACAGAGTGAGTTCCAGGACAGCCAGGGCTACACAGAGAAACCCTGTCTCGAAAAACCAAAAAAAAAAAAAAAAGGCTAACCTGAGCTACATAGTGAGTGTCAAGCCAGCCACATTTATTTGGTAAAACCCTGTCTCCCCCCCACCAAAAAAAAGAAGAAAAAGAAGAAGAAGAAGAAGAAGAAGAAGAAGAAGAAGAAGAAGAAGAAAGAAAGAAAGAAAGAATGCATGCTGTGTGTTGATTGAGTTATATCTTATAACATCCTTCTTTTGTTTCATGTATGGTGTTTTAATCACATAGCAAAGGCCATGAGAAAACCCTGTTTGGAATAGGTTTCTGGAAGTGTGATTCCAGTTTCCAAAGCTGTAGGCTGCGGATGGGTGTGGCAGCACTCACCAGTCACCCATACTTGTACCAGCACTTTAAAAGAGTTTGGGGGTAGCCTGTACTACATAGTGTAGTAGAACCAATTTAAACTTATTCACGACTAGTTTACAAATAAATGAGACTCAGACTATGGCTGTTTTAT